CATACCAAATAGAAATACAAAAAAATAAAAACAATTTTACCGCAATCAAGAAATGAATAAAAGTGGGAAGAAGTAAAATAATTAGCTATGTGCTATGTCCTAATCTGACAAATGGCTCAATACTATTATAGCTAAATGCTTAGTTGTATGTTACAAGAGTAAGGCAGGAGATATTCTATAAATGTGTCACACACTTATATTAATATTCTAATGTTATAGTAAACATTTACAATAACTTATTCTACCTATATTCCACATAAATATAATTGAAACTTAGTGAGTAGTGACTCAGTTAATATTTCATTTTCTAAAAGCAATAAAATATAATATTCAAAATGTTCATTTAATATTGGAGATTTGTTAAACATAAATCAATATTACAAGTTTAGAAGTGTAAAATAGGTAGATGCCAGTGTGTAGTATGAGTGCGAGTGCGTTTGTGTGTGAAAGAAGGAGTGAGTGTGTGTTGTTATTTTGCTTAACAGTTTGCATTTTTACCTATCTATATTTAATAATTTTTCAGTGTCCTTATAAGATAAACACATTAAAAACTTAGAGCTTGCTTATATTTGAAACGTTTTAGTCGATTGGTAGGCAAAAATGTTATTGCCCATAAATCGGATTCAATTTGAGATAGTTGCAAATACAAGAAGAAGCTTTATTTACTGATATTTTCAAAAATTGCAATAACATTATATCATTATTTATGTAGCTTAAGTTTCGTATTTGATTACTCTGAAAAATATAATATAATATGTATATAATGGCAACAACATTTATCATTTTATTAGTCTAGATCCAAAGGGTGTTTAAAAGATTGTTATACTAAGCCTACAATGATGGGTCTTGCAGGCTTAGTATTATAGTCCAGACGGAACATGACAGCCATGCATCCGACATCGCCGCGGCGACTTGTCTTTGTATACTGGCCGCCTAATAGCAGGTGGTTCTAAGGTGCAGAAATACATTTATCAAACCTGCATAATACTGGAACACTACTGACGGGAGACAAAATTTCTCTAGCGAAATTAGTTCTCTCTATTAAGTCATTAGATGAGTTAAAACAAGAAAATAAAAATCAATCCTGATTACAATATTTCAATTACAATTATGATTTACAATTATGAATGTATTGATAATAACATGCACAATTACAAACTCTAGCATGACAACAATACCCAAAATAGTAATATTTTAATCAAAAACAAGTTAAATAATAAATAAGCTCATGTTTGTGTACAAGCAGAGTAAAAACTGAAAATAATAATTTCATTTTGATAATAATTGTTTGTCTATTTATTTCCCTGATGTAAAAACACTTAAAATTTTGTCTCTATATTATATGCTTGTAGTTACGACGTAAACAGAATAAGTTTTATTAAAAACTACAAAACTTATTAAAGAATACTTGATTACAAAACCCATTAAGTCATTAATGCTTTTACTTGTTTGGGAAAAGCCTCTGTCCTGTGTAGAAAACAAGCAAGAAGTCCAAGCGGGTCATTTAAAAAAAAAATGTTATTTAAACGGGCTACATACGAGACGATATCGGTGGCGATCTAGGGTGGAAAGAAATCGGGGCTTTTATCGAGGCAGATCCTACACACGGGCCTGCCTAGCAGTACGCGTTTGGACTTGGAGCGGAACGCATATGCGGTAGAATTCTTCAAAATGCCTCCGACTCACTTAAAACACCAAACTTTTGGTTTGGAATTAGCCATCTTGGTTAATTTATTCGAAAATAGAAAAAGAGGAGTTGCTGGGTGAAAAAATGGCTCCAAAAGAGATAAAAATTAAGCCACATAAACGTACTAAATGGTCTGTAATCCAAAGACATGATTAATTTTCTCCGGATGGATAAAGACAGTTTTTACAACCTTCTAGAATTTTTCTATATTTATGATTTCGCAACTTATATAAAAACATCAATTTCTCCTACCTATGCCATTTAGTTATTTCTTCTCTTTGTTCATTTCTGCTTTGGTCAAAATCGGGTTATGTACTACACACAAAAAAACAAAAAAATAACAAAATCGGGTTATGTATATATATATGCCTTTGTATAATAATATGTAAACTTTTTTTAAATGTAATCTTTATTTATCTTTTTTAAAGATAAAGAAACCTTTAATTTCGGACATACTCCCTTCTATATAGCTTGTTTGTTGATGTGGAGATGGTGAAGGAGTAGGAGTTAGTTGTTGATGAGAGCATGAAGGCACTTAAGAGATATGAGTGCGGTCTTGTATTGATAGCGTTGGAATAGGAGTTAGTTGTTGAGGAGAGGCTTTATCTTCTCCTTATTTACTTCATACACCCTACTTTATGAACGGCAATAAAACAATTAGTTTGGTAGGCATTCCCGATGCGCCTACACACACGCAGTACGGAGGGGGCGGGGCCCCGATCTAGGAAGCATCGGCTGCATTTTTGCTCCTGCCAGCCGATTAAGGAGGCGATATCGGCCACGACTTAGGATGGCCCTACATACGACACGATTTAGAGGCAATCTGGGAGGCATCCCCACTACTCCACCCTAGATCGCCACCGATATCATGTCGTATGTAGCCCGCTTTAGAATATAATGTTTTACAATTAAATATTAAAACATTTAGAAACAACATTAATCACCCCATTCCCAGGGGTTTATCAATCATATATTTTATTGTAATAACCTTTTTTAAACAACTTTGCTTAGTTAAAAATTTTCAGTTTTTGATAGGCTGCATATTTTGTGACTTGTTTTAAAAGCATATGCTTTTTTACTTTGCCCCATGAAGGAAAACTTATTCTTTGAAGTGGAATAACTGATATAACTAGCTTGTACTTGTTCCTAGTAACAGAATATACATCATTATTTTTAATGAAAACTAGGGTTGTTTTTGTGTAAATACATTAAATTTTCGTAAAATTACTAAAACGCTATAGTATAAAATATTTTACTTCTTAACAATTTTCTTGAAAAGACTCCTTCAGACTTAGGTTGTAAATTGCTCTCATGGCTCTCTTCTGCAAAACAAAGATTCAATGTGAAATGCATTAACCCCATTGCAAGATCCCTTTTGTAATAAATATGTTGTATCAAAAGGTCACTATCTCTTTGTTTTGAAATGCAAAATATAGTCGTTGCACATTTGCACCCAAGATAGAGAGAACTTGTAAATCTACTCCGTCCATGTCACAGACTGTTGCAGTATATTCATCCCAGCCTGAGAACGCCAGCTATAACTGATTCAAGACCTGAAATCAAAAATTAAATATGTTTTACAACCGTTGAACTTTTATAACCAACTTTAATTTCAACTGTTGAAATAAAATGAAACATCATACAAATTAGTACAGTAAGTTGATTTGCAGTTAAAATGCATTGGAGAAATAGTGGGCAATGGGCTGTTTCAGTCTTCCTAATACTAACAATCATAAATACTAATGCATATGATGCAATGACTGGAGATCTTCCTTGTGTACTATGATCCTAATACACTTCAATATAAAATCTTCTTTTGGATTATTCATCACATTTTTTTAAAGACATTTCATCAAATATCAGTATAAATTGATTGTGTGATGGTTTTATAATATTTAAAGAATCTGCCAGGCCTTAAAAACTGGTTGATTGATTCCAACAGCAAAGAATACTCAGTTAAGCCTATAATAGAGCCTGAGTAGCCTGTAACAGGTGGGTGACATTTTATAAAGCCACAAGGCTATAATTTTGATGTGTCCTGTAGTTTTTTCTTTTAATTTCTTATTTGAGCTTGTAATAACAGCGCAAATGTTGATATTATTTTCTTATTTTGTAAAACATTTAATACAATTTTGGCTTTTAAGGTTTCAATGTGATTATGCAATTGGTAGAATTTTCTTATGTATCACTTTCTATAATTTTCTTTATTAGTCATGCAGCACAGTTTTTAGTCTCTATCTCGTATTCCGCTGCGAATCACTGTCAAACACATTGGACGCGCGTCCAGAACCTCGATTTCTTTCTTTTTTGTTGTAAATGTACAGCTACCTGTGCTTAAAACAAATAAAAACTCTTCATCACTTGAATCCATTATTGTTAAAAATTCTGTCTCGGTTGTGTCTACATATACAAAATTAACGTCAAACTTATCTTTCAACATGACAATATTTCTACAAATTTGTTTTCTAACATTTTGTTTTTGCAGTTATATATATATATATATATATATATATATATATATATATATATATATATATATATATATATATATATATATATATATATAATATGTAATGTACAATAAATTGTCAGACAAATTTCACTACAATATGTTCCATGACTATGCAAACGCTTTTTGGTACATTGACTGAAAACAGAGTTTAAAACATGTTTTTTCGTGAAAATCACGTCAGTGCAAACGCACGGGCAGACAGAGAAACCTATTTTTTTTGCGCCCGAAGCAATTAAAGGGCTACCCTATACGTAGGGAGGCGGAAAATGCATTACGCATACCACGATAGCCGGTCTATCGTGGTTATGAGGGACTCACATCCTACCGGGGAACCTAAGTGATACCCTCTAAAAACCGCCTTTAGGGAGTGGCAACTGGCTGATTAAGCTTTATTGTGTCGTATCGTGAGCGACCCTCTTTTGGGAAAAGAGGGCGCAGCAATATAGTTAGTAATCTATGGGGCGCAGACGAGAATAGGTTTCTCTGTCTACGCGAGAAACCTATTCTCTGTCTGCGGTATATATAGTGGGTGACACAGCACAGAGTACCTTTGTATAAACATGCGTAGTATCCTCTTAGTAGTCTGTGGTATAAACTGAAAGCACTGACAGACTGACACTAACGTTGACTGACATGAAAGACTGAAACTGAAAGGTGTTTATTTTATAATGAACGTAGAATAATTACTTTTTGTTTAGTGATATAGGTATTTATTTTATTACTAATTAAGCAATGTATTTAAGGGAAATTTTATTAATGTACTTAAACTATAAATTTATAGTAGCTGGTGTAATAATAGTTATGGGTATATTGTATAAAAAATACGAGCATAATAATTCATTTCTTTCTGAAATTAATAAGAATCACAGCAAGGTTGTGCTATCACACGACGAGTTGAGCCATTACAACGGCATTGATCATGACAGACTATATTTAGCTGTGCTTGGGCATGTTTTTGATGTGACAATTGGTAACAAGCATTATAAAAAAGGATCAGCTTACAACTATTTTATTGGTTAGTTAAATGCTTTTTTATTAAAGTTATAAGTTATAATAGCAGGTGAGCTGGCGACAAAAATCGGCAAGAGTTTTGTAATGGCCAATAATTCAATATGATTTAATTAATAGAGTCAGGCATTACTTTGTGGAAATCTATTATATTGAAGTTATCAGAAGTTAATTAGCTCATTTTCGCGTAATGAAATAAAATGATCCCTCCCATCCTCCTTGCGTTTATTATCCCCATCAGTACCACCTGGTGGGAGGTGGTCTTAAAACTGGGCAGGACACATCATTTTATTTCATTACACAGAAATGAGTAAATTTAGTTCTAGAAACTTCAATATAATGGATTTCCGCAAAGTAACACTATCTCTAATTCTGATTTCTGACTTCAATCAAAATGATTTAGTATTCTAGATCTAGTATGTACACCCTGTACATGAGTCATCACCCACTCGCAAGGTCAGGTAATGAAACACCTGGTGGCAGTGCACTTTGATGTATGTAAAATTACAGCATGCTCTACAAGTGTTTTGTAATAATTGAATTTTCAGCCATTACAAAACTTCACGAACATTGCTATGGCGACAACTTCTGTGGCGTGCTGACTCAACGCATTCCATAAAAATGTGGTCTGACCACTTTCTCATGTTTTTTTATACTATGTATAAACTAGTTGACTGTCAAATTTTACATATATCAAAGCACATTTCCACCAATTGTTCCAAACCATGCGAGTGGGAGCTTTAAATAAACCATGCGAGCGGGAGCTTTAATTAAACCATGCGAGCGGGTGCTGACTCATGTGCACCCTCAATACTAAATCATATTTAATTATGGGTCATTACAAAACTCTTGCCCATTTTTGTCACCAGTTCTTGGACTATGAAAAAATATTCCAAAAATGTTGGGCTCAATTTTGTATCTAATATTACTATTTTTGAAAACTGAAGTAACATACTAATTTACAGTCCACCTGATGATATGTGGCTACTGCAGCTCAAGGATACCTTTTTTTTCTACATGATGTAATGATTACACATACCCATCTTGTGGTTCAGGGATGGGTTATGTCAGACTTACATATGGTGTTCCTTGTCACATATTGGTAGGACGATGGAAACGCTTTCGTTCAAATTCAGTTTCAAATCCGCAGCCCCACCATGGCCTACACGGGGAGGACTACTCTTCCTCCATCTCCTTCTCAGGCAAGACGCACCAAAAAACATAGCACGCCTCCCTATGTGGCCTCCAGCCAGGCCAAGAAAAACGAGCACACAAAAGCACTAGCCTTCCTGACTCCAGTGGTGGATCTAGTCTTTGGTTCCGTCGCCAACCAATATTCGGCTGCTGAGGGTAGGGCGGCACCTCGCAACACCGATTCTCTACTCCCCCGCAGCCCCAACACCACCGCATCAACGGTGCGGCTTCGTCACTGTCGTGGAGTGTGGTCGCCATACCAAAACTCCGCGACTTCACCTCAGCTGCAGTGGTATGGGGCTTAGGACACCTTATGACACCTCGTTGCAGCCTACCAACACACATCCGAAGTTGGCTTGCCAAGTCCACGATGAGCCAGCCATGTAGGTTCCTCGTCATTCACCACAGTGGTCAAGCCACGGATACTAAGCCCCCCTTCACAACAAGGCGGCAACCCATTCAGTGGTGAGCCCAAGGATACCTACAGCTAACTTCAAACTCAGAAGGCTACAGATGTTTTTCTCACAGTCTGTAATCATACTGGCTGTCTTCACTCTTCAGACCATAACATAGCATTGTAACTACTATTTGATGGAAGAAATATGTAAGAGTATGACCTAGTAAATGCCAGCTATATTGTATGTATGTGCTAATGTGTGGTAGACTCAAATTATAATTTTTTTAGGGAAGGATGGTTCAAGAGCACTTGTAACAGGAGATTTTAAAGATGAAAGTCCTTTAAAAGACCACATATTAGATTTGCGCTGTAATGACTTGTTAACATTGTTGCATTGGAGACAAACATATAAAAAGAAATATACATTTGTAGGTAAGGCATTTAATTCTTTTGGACATTTTAAATATTATTGAATGTATTTACAATCTTGAATATATTAATTACAGGGTTTTTAAACGGAAGGTATTATGATGATCAAGGTAAAGAAACAAATTATATGAAGGAAGTTAAAAACCGTATAAAACAATGTAAGGTAGAAAAAATTAAAGCGGAGAAAGAAAACCTTAAATATCCCCCATGCAATATAGCTTGGAACGTAGATTCAGGTTCTCAAGTGTGGTGCACCAAGTCAAGGTTAATAAGATATTTCAAAAATTGTCTTTATAATTTATTTTCTTTCTACTTTTTATATGTAAATAAAACATACTGTATATTTAACAAATTTAGTTCAGTCATAGAATAATGGGCTAAAATAAAATGAACAAATGTAGATTGTGCATTAAGTTAAGCTATACTGAAGGGTTTTGTGCAATACAAAATTGTATATGCATTATGTATAGTTAATTTTTTTTAATTCTGAAGACTAAATTGAAAGCCTGTACATAAGGTGTGCCTTTATTTATTACTATAGTGCTATTCTAATGTTTATGTTTATTTACTTAGCTATTTAAACTGTAATATCTTTATCTTATTATGTTTATTGAGAGTATTGCAGTTCAGTGATTAGTTACTTATTTTATTCAATATCTATTCCACAATTAACTATTATCTTTAATAAACATCAATGTTTTATCGTATTAAATTTATTTGGCCTCAAGGGTAGATGTTAAATAATTAAGATCAATCTTGTATTATTTATTAATTTTTTATTTTTTTAATATGCTAACTAGTATGTATAATACGAGTATTTATATAAATATAATGAATACTACTGTATATATCTTGTTATAGATACTGACCAGGTGCATTGTCTTATGGTGTCATTTGAGAACACAAATATAAACTTATTACGTTGGCAAACAAGGAAACTTAGAAGAAAATTGAAAACACACTAAAAGTAAAGCCAAAATTGTAGGTCCCAAAGCCCATGGTAATAGTGTGGCAATTCACTTGAATTCTGCGCCTTTCACAGCTTTGTTGACATTATAACATATGTCGGACTTCTATTCTCAACACAAATTATGCTCACATTTTATGTCTCTATATCGAAGATAATAATCTTACTTTTTCAATTTACTTACACCTCTCTGATTTTTATATTCATCTCCCTTAAATGTCAAGTCATTTGACCCTGGAATAGTTTGTCTTAAAAATAGCTTTACATATTACTTCCATAAAAACAGCTCTATATGTGGATGTATCCCATTGATGCTACTCACACAATATTCTGGTTTTATATAAATAAATTTACTTTTACCTAAAAGTGAATAAATAAATGTTTCACATGTCCCATGAGCTCATCATTTATTACCATTTAATTTGTCTAAAGATCGTAACTTTTATTATTATTATATATTTTTATTATAACTTTTATTTTTGTCAAGTTTTCCAGAAAGACTATTTTTAGGCAATACTTTAAATGTGTTTTCACAAATTATTCTGATTACTTGAGTTTTTTAAATTTTGTTCAAAAATCAATATGAAATATTCATATCAATGTTTAGTATTCTAGATCTAGTATGTACAGCCTGTAAGCAACAAACATAATGTCACTTTATAAATTGCTGTTTTTTTAATGAAATAAGTTAACATAGATTTGTTTCTATATTTTTTATTTCTTTTAATCAATGTAATCACCCATTCAATCGATGCATCTTTGCCAACATAGTGGCAGTTTATGGATGCCCTTCTTGAGGAAATCTCTGCTCTGGAACAAATTTTGAGCAGTGCAAGGCACATCTCGATGCGTACTTCGCGCTGTCGATCATAGAGTTCGTGCGGAACCGATTTCTCAAGCTATACCTTGCCAATTTAACAAAAATGGACCAATTATGTTTTGAAGCTAACGTCGAAAGTATCATCATCATTCACAATCGCCTTTAATTCGTCATTGTCGACTAGTTTTCGGACGACCACAGGGTCTATTTTTCAGGTCGATATTTTCAGAATGGAAGCGGGCAAACCAATAACAGGTGGTATGTTCGTTGATGGTATTCGCTTCGTAAACGTCGTTGATGTTGCGTGCCGCTTGTGCTGCTAAGACAGTACTCATGTTCCATTATTGCTCGAATTTTTAATGTATCCCTGCTGGCTTGAGATTCAAATGCGATGAAAACGTAACATTAATCAATAAACAAATTGCTTATTTTGAACTAAGATTTCCATCTTTTTAAAATAAAATTAATTTGAAAGTAGTATTCTTGGCCAAACAAAAATAATTTTATTTTAAATGGCCGGTACTGCAGAACAGCATATTCATAGATAAAGGCCTATTAAATTTTTATTCATGCTACTAATTTTCAGGTAATTTAGGCTACTAAGTACCAAGATAAGACGTTTTGGGAGAAGCCTATGTCCAGTCATGGGCTAACATAGGATTACATAATAATGAAAAAAGGCGTTGGTAGGATGTGGTCTGTTCTTCTTATCAACTCCCAATTAATAAATAATACTGAATTAACTTTAAGGTCTAAAATCTACAAAATAAATTTGAGTGAAATCTTATTTCTTATATTTACGCGAACACTACACATTGATTAAAACTACTTTTACGGATTTTATCGCATTTAATTTATTTTATTTTTATTATCCAACGTTTCGGATGCCTTCCAGCACCCATGGTCACGGGGGACTGAAGTGACTGACGTCACAATCTCAATGTTAACCCGGAGTACCTTCAGCTTTTTAATTATTGTTTTTGGTCTGATCTACACAGAATGAACTGTGTTTTGAAGTCTTGCAGTGTTATGATTGGGTTTAGTTTTAATTTTATTAATTATAGGGTCCCAAGCAGGTGGTAATAGCCATCCTCCGTCTCTATTGAAATTAGGATATTTTTTAATTTCAATAGCCACACATATCATCGGGCCGTCTAAGATATTATGATCACTAGGATATGATTGCAGGGAAGTCTGCAGTTTGTGGTCATATCCTAGACGGCCCCAACCTCACCTCGGACTCCCATGACCAAGGGTGCTGGAAAGCACCCAAAATGTCAGGTATTAAAAATAAAATAAATTAAATGCAATAAAATCCATAAAAGTAGTTTTAATCAATGAAAACTTATTCATAATACATTCATTGCAATCAAGCCTTGAATGAAATAGGTTTGGAGAACCATATAATTTCATCTCTTCACAGACAAAAAAATTAGTGAAATTTCAGCATTGATTTATTAGTTTACTACCACCTAAGAATATTTTTCCTCTAGCTGAATAAATTTCAGATTTGAGTTGAGGTGAAATAGTTCACTAATGTACAAACATAAAAATGTACACAAAATCACATAAACTAAAATAATTTTAAGAGTATAATCAGGCTCTATATTTTCTAAGTTAAGATATATGTATGTTAAAATTAAAAACAGTAACAGGTGAACATATAAAAACATTTAAATTATAATTTATTGCAGTGGTGGTATCAAGAGAGACTGGATTGGTGTACCAAGGCAGCTTTATACTCCTGGTGAAGAGAAGCCTCGCTGTGTTTGTATTAATCTCGATGAAGATCAAAGTAGTACAAGTCTTATAAAGATATATGATAACTGTCCCCATAAATCCACTATTTGTACAGTTAACAATTGAGTAAGCATTCCCTTTTTGTACTTAATTAAATAAAATTTATTGAAGAATCTCAATTCATTGTTTCAGTTTAAGGGAAAAATTTAACAATGCCCATTTCCATCCCACTTGATGATAAGTAATTGAAAATATGAAATGAAGCTTTTACACATTCATTACATTTATCCCAGGTCGGGCCAAAAAATCAGTTATTGAGTTTTTCTGTCCAGAAATTCTCAGTAGCTGATCGGAGTCAGGAAGTTGGTGGTGTCTCACCCCTGTGCCTCGGAAAGCATGTTAAGCCGTTGGTCCTGCGCCTGATCTCTCTCTGGTCATGTCGGTATTATGAGATTGAGGGAATAGAGAGTTCACCTGTGCTTGCACATACACTTGGGCACTATAATCCTGTTCCTGCGCCGATGGCTAGCCTCCGTTGAGGCAGGCCGCCGTGACCGAAATTCGGTCTGGAGGTTATTATTATTATTACATTTATTTGTTCCTGGTCATATTTAGACCATTATAAGCTTCTTACTTATTTTAGTACCTGTAAAATCTGGTTTGTGTGCCAATACAATTGATTTTTAAAGAATTTTAAGTAAATTTTATATATTTTTACTGTGGCTTTTTTTATAGAATAAGGGTGACAAATGAGCATACAGTCCACCCGATGGTAAGTGGATGCTATGGTCCATAGACATCTACATTTATCTTCAATTAAGAATCAAAATGCAGATGCATTGCCAGCCCCGAGGACAGATGGAATACCTTGTTTCCAGTAAAAAGGGTTCTATAAAAAAAATTTGGCTTAGTTTCAAATTTGATATTTAATGTATTTATTTCTACATGCAAAAAATTTAATTCATTAATTTTTATGTTCAGTGTATAGAACTATAATGTTCAAAGAACCAAAGTTTTAAATTAATGTCTGAAATAAATACTAAAACTTATTATATTATGAGAATACATACTTATTTAAAAAAAAGTAAAATACTACAGATTATATTTGTCCTAAAATGATATGTAAATAATAACACATGTAATTGTAAGATATTTCAGTAAAACATATTAATTATGAGCTTCACATTAAATTACTTATGTCTTATGATTTATCCATAAAAATTAAGTCATTTAATACCAAAGGGTAATCTCTTCACATTGTACTATACAGCACTGTCAATCGTTTTACTTTCAATATGCACAACTTCATCTAAATCAAGACATTCAATTGTCTTAAGAAATACTTGCATAGGTATCTTTTTTCTGTTTAAAAATGATTTATTTCCAAGAAGTTTTTTGATTTTAGCTCTTCTTTTTTTAATTTTGTCTTTCGTGTAATGACTTCCTAATTGAAATGTCAACAGTCTTTTGACTTTTCTACCACTTAAGTTCATCTCAGTGCCAGAATTATTTGACTTGGGCTCTTCATAAATAGTTTCTAGAGTCTGTGACAAACTTTTTACTTTTTTATTTAAGTATAAAGCTTCAATTTGTTTAGGATTTGCATCTTCTTTAATGGTGTGCTTACGGGGCCTCATGCTTACTCTTCTATTAGAAAGCTTACTTGTTTCAGCAGCCAAAGATTTTCTTTTTCTTAAAACACGCGACGTGGTCGCACTAACGTGATCATCATTATCAGAAATTTCTGTAACAGGTTTATCTATTTCCATTATATCTAAGTGAGCCATTTTATTGGGTAGCTCTGAGTCCATTCTAAAAAGAACAGATATATTTGCTATCAACGAAGTTTGTATACGTTATCGCTTCAATTTTTTCCATGTAATGTAAAATACCGCAATTCGACCAAATCTTGAATGAACTTTCTATCTATTCCTAATTCGTATGATAACACAGTTCATTATTGTAATAATTTATTTGTATTCGAAATTAAAACCGTTAAGCTTATGAACGACTCACGACACGAGACAAGACAAGAGGCAGACAAGTATAAATACTTTTTTTGGATTGGATTAAAGAATATTTTTTGACATTGACATTGATTGTTGTTGTTTTTACTAAGATTTACCAATACAAGGAGGCATAACTCTTAGGTCATACAGCCTAGTCTGATGTGTATTTTATTTACAATAAATTGATGTATCACAATCTTTGAGTATTCAACCAACTGGAGAGGCCATGCGCGTTAATTCCTAAACAAAAATTCTGTCAATATCAGGGGGGCGCTAGAAAACACACAACTGTAAACTTAACTACAAATGCAAAATTAAATCGTGTCACTATAAACGCACACTACAATATTTGTGTTTGTGTTCATCGCGTTTACGAATACCATCAAATTGTACACGTGTCGATACACTGATGGCGCTGTCTAAATGCGTAAACAACGTAAGGCGTGGATTATGTCGATGTTTTTTAATCGATAAACAAATCATCATAGTCCGCATAAGTTTTTATTTGATTATAAGTAATACATAGATAAATAATACCAAGGTGTTATTTGAAATTCTTTTTTTAAGTATTTAGAAATTTTCTTCGGAAAAAAAACTTGGAAATTATTGAAAATAAGTTTATTATTTTGCTACAGGTTTATTTTACATTATGCAGGATAAAATTTTAAACATTTAAAAAATCAAAATAGGTTTAGTTAACTTATCTTAAAAATCAGATTGTTTGAAAAGAAAAGTCCAATCAGTTTATCGTCTTAGATGGTGTTAACCAAGTTTTTGTTTTTATTATAAAGCTTCGTTATCACAAAACTGCTAATTAAAAATAGTTGTTGATTTTCAAGATTTATTAAACGAACTGTCTGGAAAATATTTAATAAATTAGGAAAACTAAAAAGTTTTACTCTATATAATAGTTTAACAAAGTGAACTTTAAGCAGACAGCTGCTTAAAAATAAAACGTGACATCTACCTAGGGCTAAGTATTCCCCAGAAAGATGTTTTGCTTTAACTTTACATTACTATTCAACGAAAGCTTAACAATATGTGCGAAATATCAAAAGTTTTGAAATTGGTCTGCCTTCATCACATACGATAACAAAGTAGTACAGTACATGGCCGACTTGGCTATACAAAAAAAGCGTTAACTGTTTTAAAACTTAAACTAGAGAGTAACCCTGATAAGAAATATTATAAAATCTAAATAAAAACTACAAACCGGTTCGGCAGACAAACCCGCATGGTTAATTAACTTATCGATAGCTAAAGTTGCGGCGTTCATCACTATAGTGCAATACTTTCGGTTGCAGTGATACCAGTTTATTTTTATAAAAATTGCACACTTTTGCTGCGAGGTAGCAAGTTTCGATTTGACTTATTTGGCCTATATTTTGTATATTTTAATAAATACTAGTTATCGATTATATTTAATTATATAATATTCAATATCGTTTTAAAATTGAGCTGAATATATAAATCATTTAACAAAATCCACTACACATCTATATGTAATGATTATTATTCATCACAAACTGATTTAGTTATTAGAAAATATATTTTCGTTAACATATATGTATAACTTGTGTAGGAAATTATATTTTTTTAAAAATAGATTATTTTTCACTTTATGAACTATGATGGCCACACTCGGTATTGGACGATAATATTCACAAAGTACGAGTTTTAATGATAAAATTATTTTAATATTATGTTAAAAATACTCACAGATGAAAAGTCACATTGTCCTTTTGTATACTTGACGTTTTTGATTGTTTTTTTTTTCATGTAAATACACTGCAATTCGGCATTTTGTCGGAGCTCGATTTACTGGCACGATCACTTCTAAATGACGCACGACGCGGAGCAACTAGTTTTATATAACGAGTATGAGTCGGACTCTCGTACCTTTTACAGAGGGGTATGCCTTGCGATGCCGTCTCCTTTGGTTTAATACTCAAAGATCACAATCCATGTTTATAAATACTCTTAAGGTCACAATAGAAAATATTTCGGGAGATTGTGACGAGCGTGTGTTAGATTTAAATTAATCTAAATCCAAGTATTATAATAATAATATGGAAGGATATTATATGATTATGATACGGAAGAATTATAATAATACTGTCAATTTCTCGCTAATGGCCTTATCACACTGGCGATTTGCAAGCGACTCCAAAGCGAAGCGCAGCGAGCTCGGCGCGAGTTCGCGAAAACACCGCGAGAATATTGCCGTCGGAAACATTTTGCCCGCCCGCTCCGTGTTTGACTTGCGCTTGAGAATTCACAGCGAGCTTGCTGCGTTTCGTCTCGTTTAGAACTCGCTCACAAATCGCCAGTGTAATAAAATCCTAAGACTTCTGACTCTCCCGTACCGTCTAAATAAGATTTAGCTCCCAACGACTTCTTCCTGTTCTTAGATCTCAAGAGAATGCTCGCTGGAAAGAAATTTAAAGTTGATGAGGAGGTAATCGCCGAAACAGAGGCCTGTTTAGAGGCTAAACACAAATCCTACTACAAAAATGGTATTGAAAAGTTGAAAGATCGCTATAATCGGTGTATCGCCCCTGATGGCAACTATGTTGAATAATAAAGTCGAATTTTGCCAAAAAAAATGTGTTTTTCTATAAAACGATGCGAACTTTTCAGCCCGCATAACGGGGAACGGCGGCGCGAACGGCGAAGCGACAGGTGGGGCGAAAATTCGCGCGGCGCGATCTGAGGGCCACGGGAAGTCACGTTTGCCGCCGCGACCAGATAGGCCGAGAGTGAAATGTCTTTATCAAAGTTATCTCAATATAGCTTAGAAAGTAATTGTTTTTTGATTCAAGACATAATATTTGAAAAAGATTGCGGAGTACATGATTTGAATAGGAATCGGGTTATAAATGGAGAATTCCACAACAAATAGAATGCATCTAGAAAAAAATTTCGAGTAAATACCAGAATGAGTGTTGAAACCTGCGATTATATTCTTGTTAATATTCAACCAGAATTGGAGATGAAAGTCAATGCGGATAGAATTTTAAGTTGATTTTGTCGGCCCGGCATTTTTCGCGGCGAAAACAACTAAAATATTTTGTTCCCTATACTATTCGCCGCGTCTGCCGCCCGACTCCGTAGCTT